ACTTAAAGAGCACTTAAAGAGCTGCAGCCTCTTCGATGCAAAAAACTGATTGAAAATCAGTTTATTCACTTATTTGTGTTTATTTGTGTAAAGTTGAGATGGAACTGCACATCTTTATTAACCATTCAGACTACCAACACAACAAAACACAATCAAAACAGTCAGTCATGACATTACCCCGTACTCACAGGGTAATAAACAGAAACTGCTTTTGCATTTTGCACATAGCTTTGTGGTGCATAAAACTTCACATATTTCACAAACAAGATATTAACATATATGGAAAAAAACCCATTAAAGCTCTATATACCATAAGAAAGACTTTCAGTATTCAATTATGCCGCATGAACTGATCAGTACATTATTGCGAGGGAACGCAAAAGAAAAAAAATCCTCCATGTGCAGTAGGGGGACCCATACTAGATTGTTTGGTTTTTTTTATTATTAATATAAACAATCAACCTCAAAAAGGTACCATAACGTTTTCACAACACACACAGAAAACAAACAGAACTAAAATTATTGAGATTAATCTGAAAATGTCCACCTAATTTTTGAAAATTTTTAAAAATTTTTTGAACATTTTTAAAATTTACTCCTTTTTTTCCCTTTATCATCAATGAGCCTAATGCACCGTTATACTCGTCAGATGCAGACACAGCTATTTATTGCTATTTTAACTGTTTTCAATGGGTTTTATCTGTACATTCTGGCTCAACCCGCCCTTTGGAACATCTTGTTTTTGCCTAAAACGAAAATTAGTTTAACATCCCTGCTTTGGGATGTTTTATCACCCAATAGTCGGTTAGACTTGGTTTGATTAGGAACCAAAAGTGCAACATTTGTTACACACAATTCAGTTGGTAATTTTCCTCTCTTATTCTGTCTCCTCCATAGTGTCAGAGTTCATCGGGGAGGACATCCAGGCCTACCAGTCAGGCTCGCACATGAAAAACTAGTCCAGCCCGTGATGAACCCGGTTTGACGTTCAGCATCTTTTTAAATTCCCTTTGCACTTGGTATTAAGTTGGGATAACTGCAGTAGCACATAGCTGACAGGGGAATCTGGTGGGAAATGTATGCAATTTTATTCCAACCACTGTTTTATAAAAGGGAAACTGATGTTTTAAAATATCTGCCAAAATAAATTATATAAGAAACTACGCTGTGTGAGTCTGGTGTCTCTTTTGGATGTTTATTTGTAGCCTGAAACAAACAGACTTGAAAGAATGAAAGCGGAAATAATTATTGTTGAAAAACAGTTTCATGAATTAATTATATTGGACCACAAAGTTTATAGCAGCTATTAACTGCACAAAAACCTTTTAATTAACCATAGATGACGATTCAGCAGATTTTTTTCTCAGTTGCACAATTTAAGATCCAATCTCGCCAAAAAGCAGTCAGTACAAGGTTGTTGTGCAGTTAATAGCTGCTGTAAACTATGTATTTTTTTATGTTTTATTTTAAGGTTTGATAATTAAGTTAACCAGTTAACATGAACTGATTCTCTAAATCAGTCTCCAAATGTGCCTCAAGATGTTAAAACCGTAGCTAGTTCCTGTTCAGAAAGTTGGAAGTAAAGAAGCTGAAACGGTTTTCAAAAAAATAATTTCTTTCCAAATTTTACAAATCTGCAGATGAACTAAAAGTCCTATGTTCTGCTGTCTGCTTTTAAAAACATAAAAATAAAAAAGTAACTGCTGAAACAAAGATGGATGCAAATGTTTAAAGCCTGTAAAATCTAATTGGGATTGTAAAAAACAATTAGAAAGAAATTTAGTTGCACTTTTTTTGGTTTCAGTGAGGAATACATTTCAATAATTTACTTTCTCATCATAACCAAACTGTAATTATAACTAAACACCTTACTGACTTACTTTTCCAACTTTGGCTCAATTTTTTTTTTTTTCATCCAAAATGCTGCAGCTTGGGTCCTGACCAACACTATGAAAATGAATTGTAAAATTATGTATTTTAAGCTCTGCGGTCTTTCAGTCTGCGAGGGACTGAAAGACTTTGGAGCGACGGCGATGTGTTGCCGGCTCGAACCTCGCTCTGTCTGTCTGTCTCAGTTGTAATATCCTTGGACAAGACGCTACACTCGCAATTTCCAGTACAAAAAAACAAAAACAGTTTTCCAGTATGATGCTTCTCTTTAGCATAAGAAGCTAAATAAGAGTAAAAACTAAACTAAAATCTCAAAATTGTGAAAGCACCCTTATGTTTGAACATAAACTATGATGCAGTTTTTTGGGCGGAGGGTTTGTAAAAGAACAAATCCTGACTACTTGCATCGATTTTACACTTTGTTTGTCTTTTCAGGCATACTTTCCCAGTCTAAAAATATCCAAGAAAGGTCAGTCTGACATTGAATTAAAGCAAACTAAATTTCAGTCTCTACTTGGCTGTAAAAGAGGGCTTGAAATGTTTTCAGTAACCAGATTTAATGGAAAAACAAAATCCTGTATTGTTTATTATTTCGATACGCATCATTTTCCTCTCCCATTTTTCAACTTTCTTTTAAAGAAAAAAGAAAGGATAAAACGGGAAAAATAAATTTGTAAGCAGTAATATATTTGAAATATAATTTCACAAGTCCATGATGAAGGACATGTTTTGGCTTTCATTAATTAGCAGCTTTGGTGTATTTAGAAAACATGAAAATGTGATTTGGTGTCAACAACACTCAAAGAATGTTTAAAATTAATCCTTTTTCTTTTAATTTAACTGGATTTTTTGTAGGTTTCTGTGTAAAGAGAAATTTTCAGACTGCTTGACATCTAAAAGCATTTTTATGCTGTGTTTTTATTTATCAAAGTGTAACTGAGATCAACATTTTTTGCAAATAAAATAAAATAAATGCCTTGTCATAACTTGCATCACTGTATAGTAAAGTGTTGCCTTACACTTGAGCAACATCATGGACACTCTGTTTTTCCCTTCTGCTGACCAAATTAAGTTAAAATTAAGATTATTACTGATGTGACCTAGAAATTGGATTATCTGTCTTTTTATGAGTCTGAGCCCTTCTACACTGCAAAACACAAAATCTTACCATGTATGTTTGGTATAGTTTCTAGTGCAAACATTTTAGTGCATTTGAAATAAGACAGAACTGCCCTACAAATAACTTTTCAGTGAAATATTGGAGCTTCTTTTTAGTCAATAACTCCTTGATACTGATGAAAAAGTACTTGTTACACTGGCAGATTATTTCACTTGTAACAAGACATTTTCCCATGTTAAAAATGAAATAATCTAGTACATTTTCACCAGTATTATGGAATTATTGACTTCAAATGAATTTCTATATTGTGCTGAATCTTGCTGCTTTGTCAAATTTAGTGTTTTTGCAGTGTACTCTTGTAAAACAGTGTCAGGTTAGGAGGATTTAGCAGCGGATTGTGTTAAGAGACGATGCGTTTCTGGGATAATCCAGATCCAGCATGACTATATAAGGCCTGTCGTCTGCTGGAGAGTTCAAAGGTTACGCACGCGCCCAGCGACTGTTTCAGTGCGTCGCCTGGAGTGAGATGGAAAACCCAACTTTTTTATGTATCTTATGAAGACGTAAAAATGACCAAAGAAAAACACATAAAGCTGAAACTTGATAGAGATAGCTAAATTAATTTGAAGAATTTTGTTTTTTAATGATGGCATCTTACAGAAGTATCCTCATGTTTATTTTTGATTCTCTTTTTATGTCCTGATATATCTTATACTGTAACTGACTATTTCCTCATTGATTTATTTGTTCTGTCATTCTTTTTTTTATGTAAAAGGCTCAAACATCTGTATAGCTTTTTAATTGTCTTGTGTCATAATTAGTGTTAGAAAACAGTAAAAATAGAGCCACAGCACCACCTATCATCACTTTTGCCCTCAAGCAACCAGACTTTTGTATAATATTTGTAAATTGTGTTTAATAAACAAAAAAAATTTTTTTTACCAACCTGGATTACAAGAATGTTTGTCTGCATGAAAACAAATAAGACGTTTTACATTTTTATTTTGGGAAAATTCCTGGCTTTTTCTATAGGATTTGCATGAAATAACTTTAAGTTCCACTAGGGGGCGGTATAGCTTCAAACATCAGGCAGCGGCACCATTAAAGCTTCTTTTATTTGTACTTTGCAAAACGTTGAAGACAAATTTTTGGCTTTTTCACTCATAACATGGGAAAAATGCCTGGTTACAAGTGAAATAATCTGCCTGTGGAACAAGAACTTTTCTGACATTTACTTGTCCCTTTTTTTATCTAGAAGAACCGTCGTAAAAATTAATGGTGATCATCATTAGCGGGGATCTTTGCGCGCAGCTTCACGTTGCAACATGCCAATAATCTTGTTATAAGTCAATAATTGTTGAATGTTGATACTAGTTCCAACGGCAGATTTTTTTTTCAATTATAACAAAGATTTATTTTTCCCCCAATGTCTTAAGAGAAAATATGTCAGTGGAACTTGTACTTTTTTTATTAATATCAACCGTTTGTTCTTAACACATTTCATGGTGGAAAGTGATGTTGTTTGAGAAAATGCTGGCATTGTCTGCTCCTTTCCTGTCAACAGGTTTACAGTAGACTCCAGTGTTGACTGTCTCTCGCTCTTCAGTAAGTTGCTAAAAATAAAGACACTTTATACTGGGACCAGTTCTATTTCTGGGATGGGAAAGGAGGGAACGGAAGGAGGTGACTTAACAAAGTAAACAGAGGTATTAATAGTATTTAGGTGATTTACTGACCTATGTTTGTCGGTCCACACAGTTATATTTCTTATTTATTAATAATTAATTCAACTGAATAGTTTACATTCACATAATGGCCACATGGTGGCGCTGTGTAGAATAAACCTGATCTCTCAAACATCAAATCAACAGATGAATAAACAAAAAAATGGAAGATTAAACGCAATGAAACGTGAAATTGCAGAATCAAGTAGCTATAAGTTATTTGATTATCATCCATCCATCCATCCATCAGAGCGAGCCCAAACATATTTTTTTTTCTGTTTTGTGATTTTATTGTCATGATTACATGATTTTCATATAACACTGATGTCGTTTAAATACCTAAACTTGTGAAATATAAAAACATATAAAACCACCAACCGGAAAATAAGTGCTTCTTTTATAACCTTCATTTTCTCAGCAGTCCAGAACCAATGGAGCAAATTAACAATTATTGGTAACCAAATAAAACATGTTTCCATACAAACAATAAATTTATATGTAACGCATACAAGTATTAGGAAGGTATAATTGTTGTGATTTTTATATTCCAGCTTGCAATGTAACTATATGGGAAGCAAAAGCCAGCCCAGAACCTATGCTAAAAAGTTGAAAATTAATTTCATTTGACTCTTCATTAACAATCACTAAACATATTGTGTTGGAGCTATTTATTGTTTATATTCTTTATTCATTTGAATTTTGTTAGTTTGTTCTTAAATGTATATTTTTTGTATTATTTACAGAACTCATTTGTAAGTTAATAATTGTTGATTTCATTGATCTTTTGTTTTATTATTTTTTCTTATTGATATTTTTTAAGTAAACAGGAAGCGATGCGGGTTGGCCCGCTTTCTATAAATGTAGGGGCCTGGTAAAGGACCAGCAGGCATTTGGGTTAGGGGCCTATGGTTTTTACCAGTGCAAGGAAGCAGAGAAAACAAAAGGACGTTTGAACTCTGTAATTGTTCCTTTTTTTTGTTTTGCAAAGATGTCAAAATAAATCATGAACAACAAGTTACAAGTTGGATCCTGAACCTTCTTTGCCTGCGTTAAAATACTTGACCCCAGTGTCTCAGTGGCTTATTGGAACTTTGTTGGATGTTTGGTTTGACAAACAATCGCCACTACATCAGTAAAAACCTCCCCATGGATCAAGTAAAGACATTTCTATGGATCAAGTAAGGAACCAGCCCGTGGACTAAAAGGAACAATTCGTCATTAATTGACATGCTGGATTTAAGGATTTCAAGGATTTCAAGGATCATCATCAAACAAAAGGTTTTGGATTGTCTTTGATGAAATCAAGCGACTGCTGCGTCAAGCCTGGATTGACACGTCACTCATTCATTAAACTGGTACGTGGCAATATTGTTCAAGCCGTAAAGGAAAACGGTGAAACTACTGGAGTTTAAAGACATTATTTCACTGCAAAGACTGATGAGATGAGTTTGATGTGACAAGTTGACGCCTAATTGGATCCAGACGTGAGCCGACGCCCATCATGGAAATGTTTGTTCACAAGAATCAACCTCTTTAAATAAAGAGATACGTTTGTGCTTTGTGGATTCCTGGATTATGCCGCTTTTAAATGTGTGAAATAATTCAAAGAATCGCTAAAAATGTCTGATGTAAAGAGCAAAGAGAATGACACCGAGACGTCACAAGAAAAAAGAACCATCAAATTCACACAAAAGGGTTTGGAGTTTTACATCAAAACATGTCAAGAAAAACGAAGTTTAAAGTGCAAACAAGCTTCAAAATTTATGGAGAAAATCTCCGCATTAATGACGTCACGAGAAAATGTTCCGGAAGTGTCTTCTAACTTTGCCAAGTTTATTAAATGCTATCAAGATGCAACTGATTTACATGAATCCTTTTTAAGTTTGTCGTTACCAGAAGAAGAAGTGAAAAGGCAAACTGTGTATTTTCAGTCGAAGGTGACGGCATTCTCTGATTTTATGGACAATGTAAAGGGTTGAAGCAGGAGATCCATATACTGAACAGAAAATTAATGTTGATGATCAGGTTGTTGCGGATCTGGATGAAATAAATCCTGAAGACAGTGTTTTTAAAGGTTTTTTAAAGGTTGTGTGAGAAATCAACAACTTTTATTTTTGGAAAACTGTCAACAAATATAAGCTTTAAAAAGTGTATACACAAAGACTTCAAATTGCTTTTAAGTGCGACTTCAGACATTTAAAAATGATCATTTTGTCCATTTGCGGCTTACACAATATTTGACATTTGACCAACACACATCATGCAATAAGAAACTAGATTATTTACTTAGTTTTCTTTCAGACTACTTTAACTGAAATAAATTTTTCCTCAGGTTATTAGAGAAATCCATCAATTCAGACAACTCAGCCAGGCCCACAGTACACAATATCATAAGTAAAGAAAACCAGTTTATTGGAAAAAACCAAAAAACGAAAACCCTTTCTGGATTAGAAGAAACATAAAGCATGGCAGTCTTACAAAACAGAAGGAAATTATAAAACTCTTTTAAAAGATAGGTAAATGAAGGAAAAAATGTCAACATACGAAAACTGTGAATTGCATTTTGAGTTGCACAGATTCAAAGGATGATTGGTTTGATCATGATTTTTTTTTTATGTTATTTTACTGGGGGGGGGGTTGTTGTTATTTCCCCAAGCATACACTCTTTTATTTAAAACAATCAAGTATCTTTACGTTTGTAATTTTTTATATTTTTGTGGGAAATGGGACCGATCGCGAATGACGTCACTGTTGCCCGGATGTTGGGACAAACAAAGCACAAATAGAATGGCGGCGTCAGTTGAGCTTCGTTTCAATATTTTTCAACACAGAAGCATCGTGTGGAGAAACTTACATGATGGCTGAAACGCAGAGGACTCAAAGTGAGGGGGGTAAAGGCAGCATTAGTTGAAAGATAGCCTTTTTTCTGACTACCGAAAGTGTGGTAGCTAACATTTGCTAGCACTAAGTTACATTTAAGTTCATTTGCAATCGGTGTAGGTTATTTGCAGTTGACATACAGCTATTGGTGAACTTAAAATTGTACATCCTAGTAACCTAAATCAGTCGATCACCAACAAAATCAGCTGTTCTTAGGTACAGATGTTTTCCCTCAGACACAGCTTATGCCTCTGCTTTAGCTAAGCTAAAATGGCAGCGCTGTGTTCCGTTTTAAAATTAGGAGTATGACGCCATTTGCAGTCAGTGTCATTAACCTTGGGAGAAAGACAAAAAAAATGCCCTATTTCTTTGTACATCAAACTACTTTCTGTTTTATTTTCAGTATGCAGCTAAAACATGATTATTCATGCAGTTAAATCAATCAGCTTTGCTTATTTGTACGCTTTTTCAAATAAGCAAACCTGCTGTGGTTGCTTAAAATTCAGGTTGGTGGGAGCAAAACATAAAGAAAAATACAGAAGATGATTAGAGACACTAAAAAAACCAAACAAATCAAATTCTGAACTTTTTGTTCTTTTTTTAAGAAATTACATTGGTAGATGTAAACTAGACCACTGACTTTAAACCTTTCTCGTCTAAAATCCTCACTACTGCAGTATACTTCAACTAAATTAAATTTGGCCGTGGAGTCTGGAAGAGCACAAGATTTAAATGCTACTTTGAGGTTAATATACCTTTCAAAACGCTTTTTTTCCACTGTCTTTTTGAAACAATTCATTCCTGTTTAACAGTCAAAGAGTTATTTTGGGTCACTTCTCCTTATTATGATCAGAACTAATACAGTAATAGGAAACAGACGCTTTCTTGCAGCAGTAAGTTCGACAGCAGTTTTACAGCCCTGAATTAGGAGACCAAATTCAATTTCCTTTGGAGTACACTGCCTACAACGGCATATTCGTGCATTGTAGAATGAAAAGAAGAGTAAATTTGCGAGGAAAAAAAGTCAGAAATTTTGACATTAATCTCAGAAATTTTCTAGAAAAAACAGAAATGTTTGAGCTCCAAAGTAAAAAATTTGCAAGACAAAACTCAGAAATTTTGAGATCTCAGAAATTTTCTAGAAAAAAACGTAAAATTTTCTAAGTCTCAGAAGTTGAAAATTTGCAACCTTTAGAGCTCAGAAATGTTTTACCTCCTAGGTAATTGGAATGCAGCAACAGTCCGTGACTGATGCGAACAGTGACAAAAAGTCACATTTGTCATCATACATAACCACAAATATCGCAAAATGTTTTGCAAATATTTCTAAATTAGTTCCACAAATCAGTGATTTTCATTGCAAAAAATGACAAAATTAAAATATTTTCAACTTTTGAAACTTAAAAATCTCCAAATTTTTTCTGAAGAATTTCTGAGATTAATCTCAAAATTTCAGTATCGCATAGCGAAATTGTATCTTTCCAAACTCAGAAATTTCCAAGTTTTTCTAGAAAATTTCTGAGTGTTTTGGCAGAAATGTACTCCTCTGTTATTGTCTGTCTACATGGCCCTAATACGCCATTGTAACTTTCAGCTCAACTTCCTTCTCCTACAATCAGGCGCTGACAAACACCAGGCGGGTGGAGTAAACGAGGTCGGCCAGGTAGAGCATAAAGTTGACCCCGGTGAGCACGGCCACCGCCATGCACTTGTCCCAAGTGCACAAGCCAACCGCGCTGCTGCAGTTGTATGGTCTCTGATTCTGGCCGCCATTATGGGGGTCAAAGTTGAAGATCGGCCAGATGATGGTCGCTGACATATAGAGGACGACAGCCAGCAGTGAGTAGGCAGAAAGGAAGCGGGCGAATGGAAAAGGGAGGAACCCGGTGCACTCGCCGATGCAGAGCAGGATGATGACCGCAGTCAGGATGAAGCAGATGCAGTACACTGACATGCAGTACTTCACTGAATGGTGACGGTCGTACAAAACGGGTTCGCTGATGAAGACGAAGATGACGCAGGCCACGAAGGTTTCCAGGACTTTGAGCAGTCCCGGCGCGGTGGCCATGTAGCCGGCGACCTCGCCTGGCCGAGCCTTGGTGAGGCAGACCTCGCTTATGTAGGCGATGGTGGCCAGGCAGGAGAAAACGGTGCATACGATGCGGAAGTCGCGGACCTCGCTTTGTTCTCCAGAACCCCTCAGGAAGTAGATGGGAAAGATGATGGAGGCCGACAGGCAGAGCAGGGCGGCGTAGCACGCAAAGGTGATGGGGAAGTTCTTCCAGGAAACGGGGGCTCTGGTCTGCAGGCCGAAAAGCTCCACCAGGATGACGAGAAGAGTCCCGGCGAAGCTGAAGGCCCAGCAGAAGATGCAAAAGTCTCCAGTGTGGAGGTAGAGTTTGGCCCCATGCAAACCCAAAGAGAAGGCCACACAGGTGAAGACCAGCGCAGCCAGCCGCGTCCAGAGCAGAGGACTGGACTTCAGGACGACAGGCATGGTGAGATTTATCCAAAGGTTTCCTTCCTGGAGCAGAGTTTCGCTGCCAGCCTTCAGCAAGATGGTAAGCTGTAAGAAACAAAAGAGAAAAACAAGTATTTAGATAAAACCATGTGAGCTCTGCCCAGTTCTCCTACACGCCGTTTTCCCAGCCGCACAATGTTCTTATTGTTTTCATGAATGGCAGACACAACAATTCGGAGCATGAAAACCCAATTCAAAACCACAAATAAAGACTCCACTGTGGTTGCAATTGTCACAGTACATTTACAGCTGAGGAACATTTCTTCCTTTAGGTGTTTGTGGAACTGAACACTGAATGTTGAACTCTGACGTTCCTCCATGACGAGCCTCCATGCTCACATCCTCCATGATGGACCGACATCATGAACTCCACCAGTCCCCTCAGCATGTCTGTCTGTCGTCATGTTCTAAACACAGCCTCTCTCATGCGCTCCCTTTGCAGCCATTGTAGATTGAAAAGAAATTTTCACCAAAAACTCAGAAGTCTTCTAGAATAAAAACAAGAAAATTTCCAAGCTCCAAAAGTTAAATAGATCAGAACAGAATAAGTGCACTGTGTTGCAAATGATACAATAAATGCTCACCCTTACCGTGATACAACTGTGTGTGATTTGCCATTAGATTATAAATCAGTCCCCAATTTGGGGAAGGCAGAAATGGCTGTGCACTTCAAAAACACAAAATTTTCCCAGATATTTTCTCATTTGTAGTAAAAATATCTTAGTACACTTGAAAGCCAAGTGTTAATTTACAAGTAACTTTTCAGCAAGATATAGGAGCTTGTTTTAAGTCACTAATTCTTGAATATTGGTCAAAAGTACAAGTTCTACTGGCAGATAGATATTTATAAGAAGACATTTTTCCCCATGTAAAAGGTAAAATCGTCCTCCAGTGGAACTCGTATTTTATTGTCAATATTCACGAATTGTTGACTTAAAATAAGTTCTTATATCTTCCTGAAAGTTACTTGTGAGTTACTGTTGTTTTATTTCAAGTGTACTAAGCTATTTTCACTATAAACGAGACAAAATACTTTGTAAGATTTTGTGTTTTTTCAATGCTGTTGTGTTTCTAACATGGATCTATGTTCAGTTGAAAAAAGAAACATTAAAAACCAAAACTTACCGACCAGTTTGCGAAACCTAAACTTATTTAATCTGGGTAATTTAAAGTAAAATTTCCATTTCAGTGGAAATTTTTAAAGTTTAGAGGGAGTCTGATTATTCTGCGCTGGCCTTTCACTCCTACTCCCCTAGTGACATTCATCGTCCATTTGGCTCCACAAGCAGTGAATTCCTAATTCCCAGTTTACACAGGGAGACAGCTATAAACAAGGAAAAAATTCCTGTTTATGTTAGGCCTGTTAAACCCCTACAAAAGTTTCATGGCTGTACAGTTAAAATTGGAGGTGAGAAGACAAAAAAAGCTAACAAAGAGGGAAGGAAATGGAGATGTGGATGTGTTAAAACCCCCCTGAGAATGAGCGGGGAGGCAGGAGGGAGACTGGGGAAGCCCTGCGCTCGGCCGCAGAAGGACTCGGCGTGTAAACACAGTGATGGTTGAAATAGCTGCAGAGTGAGTCAGCGGTGGTCCTAGTTCCTTTCACCACTCTCCCTCACTCCCTGCACCTCCTCCTTGATTCCTGGTCAGATTTTCCAACTAGCTTGATGCAATCCAGATGTTGCTGTCGGAACAACTGGCGACTTTGTCATATCTGCACTCCTTCCCTGCTATTTAGCAGCAGCTCCCCTCATGGTTTCCATAAGGGCTTTGCGTTATTTTCCCTCCCCTCTCCAGCTTTATAGTTGTGGCTACCAGCTCGCGTAAACCATTCAAAACATACATGAAGGGTTCAGCATGGAAAAATCCACCCCCATTCCTGCCACCACCACTCCTTCCCGCCTGCTGCATCCAGTTAGGAAAGAAATGACATATAGGAGAAAAAGGAAAAGTGTGGAAAAAGTGTTGTTTTTTGCAGCGCAGCACGGAAAACATTACAAGTTCATACTTTAAAAAAAGAACGTGGCAGCAAGCAGGAACAAGACGTTCAGGAAGCAAATTTCCGGGAGGTCAGGCGGGCTGTTTGTTTCGTTGTCATGACACAACATCACTTACTCAATTTGACCTGTAATCCATTTACGGCAAAATGCATGATGGGTCAAAACACAAGACGGGGCTCTGTTGGGAAACGATCCCAGTGACAGTGAGTCAGAAAGGGCAAAAAAATGTGATTATTTGAATCAAACTAACTCATGGCACATAAAAAATTAAAAAAGAAGAGGTTGGAGCAAATTCCTTCATCGATAAGAAAATAATTAATTTAGAGACAGAATATTAGAGGGGAGGTAGTTTCTATCTAATTGCAGGGTATGGATCTGTTTCAGGCTTTTAGTGAAGTTCAGCCCCTGACATTTAAGGTGGGTGTGCTGCCTGCCACGCCCTGCTTCCTGCACCTCAACATGCAGCAAACAAACATGCACATTAAAACTCACATTTCATTTAAACTGCATTTTACAGTTAAATAGTAAATTGTGAGACATTTAGCTGCAGTTTAAAATGAAACTGTGGTGCTGTTGTTCTGTATATCTGATGTGGAGAGCATAATGTCTGCATCTTATTAATAAAGTTTGTACGTAATAGAAGGGAAAAGAACTTTAAAATAACCTGGATCCAGAGTTTTGTGATAAACCGACTAACAAATGGATTTCAAATTTTAAATGTAGCAGATTTTTTGTTTTTCTGAAAGAATAAAAATAGTTCCTCCTCTATTTATAGCTGGATAAGGCATTCCTGAGCCTGGAACCCCCAGGGTTGACTGGGACAGCTGCATTAAGCAAGACAAACTGTAAGGAAAAAATATCCACCAATCTAAATTTAGAATCATTTTTCTCTCTTTACAATGAGAAGGTAAAGCGCTTGGCATTATAGAACCACTTATAAAACCCAGCAGTAGATTCAAAATAAATCTGTCATTTAGACACAGAATCATATTTTAAAAGAAACATTTTGTCACCATCTTCTTTATTTCATTTTTATTTCATGAATGTCATTATCAACACCAGTTCTCTTTATACTTTACAAAAATTCTGGTGTTTTCTAAATTTTAAATCCCTTAAATTGCAGTTGTAGGGCTTTTAGCCTTAAAAAGTTTTTTACTTATTATCCCAAATGGAAATGTTTGAAAACTGTTTTTTAGTGTCAAAGTCGAGAAAACCTGAAATTTTCTCTAGTTGAAAAACAATAAAATGTTCAATTTCTGACCCATTGTAGTTCTTTTTGACTCATAATTTATGTTTAATGGAAAAAATAAATATAAAAGGAACAGTAATGGTGAAATGCTTAAAAAGCTTTTTGAATGGGACTCAACGATGCAGAAAATGCACATTGGACACAGGTTGCTCCATTTGGTATAAAAGGCATATTAACACCTTGAGAAAAAATAATAATGAGGATTTTTCATGCAACCAAAAATACTTTATGCCATTTGTAATAGTGCAGCAAAATATATGCAGAATTAAAAATAAAAACAAACACTTTTAAGTTCTTGCATTTCCACCATCCAGACTGATTTATTTGATAAACATTTTTCATTTCCAGCTTTAAGAAAATGTTACTTAGTTTATAGCTCATCTGTCTGCTAGTCAAACTGCATATGTTGAGCTAAAAATCGATCACTTTGGTTCCTCTCAGGCTGCCACACCCTTCTGCCATGCTGCACATCTGTCTCTACACAAAGTGGCACATATTCATGACAAATCAGTTGAAATAAAAAAATTTAAGTTGCTAAACGTGGAATATAAAACAATGTAAACTTAACTTTCACCCTTTTCTACTGTTTTTGAGCTTAAACATTGTTGCAAACACATTTTCTCCAACATATTTTATGTTCATTTAAATCTTATAAGCTAGCTTAAAAGTGGCATTCTTATGAATAAAAAAAATCTATTTCAGTGAGAAATCTTATCTTTATGGGTTCACAAAAATCCCAGCATTTTGTTTTTCCTGTTAAATTTAGACGTTTCTTACCTTTTCCCCTGATGCTGGTCTCTGTTCTCCAGAGCAAGCAGAGGTAGAAAGATGCAGATTGTAACTCTTCAGCCCTCTGGCTGGATTTTCCAACCCACCCCCCAGAACAGCGGCTCCACGCCCAGAAAACCAAATTAGGCGGTGAACATATGCACCGTTATTCTGTCTGAACTCCTCCTCTGACGACAAAATGACCGGGGCCTCTGCTGCTCAACTCCCACAGAGCAAAAGTTCAGCCTCTTGCGTTTCCATGGTTACTTACATTCGTGCTGACTGGCTGAGGTCTCCTGTTAGTAACTATAACACAACTTCACTCATTCAATAAAAGTTTGCACAGGAAAACTTTTCAGTATTCTAAGTTTTTAATGTGAAACTTGCATAATTATCTGCTAAGCAATATTAATACGATTGTATGTTTAACTTTCTGAAAGCCACAAGCCGGATGTTTGTGAAAACAAAACTCAACCAGATCACCATGCTGCACATCTGCAGCTTTGGTTTATTTGTATGCATTGCCTGGCAACATTGTTAATTCACCGAAGGACTGCTGCGCTTCCTGACCGACTGCAAAAAAATGGAGGGGAAATTTTTCAGTGCACTTTCAATTTAATAAGGCAGATAAAGCCTCTATGATATTACCCACTATTATATCTGAAATTAGTCATTAAAGAAAACACCTTTAGGGCATTCATCACAACTTTTGTCATGTAATAAAAATGTGTAAAACTCATTTTTATTACATAGGTTCGATTCATATTTTCAGCTTTATCTCAGTGAAAACTGTCTAAAAAGTCAACTTTTTATTTTTTCATTTTGGGTGAAATTTGTTGGTAAGAAATAATGGTTCTATCATAAAATCCACAGGTTGCAGTCGTCATTATAAACTTTAAAGTAAGTATCTCTGAAATATTACTATAACTTACTCTTTAAAATTGATCATACCGTTTAGATGCTTTCAATTACTATGCCTGACTTTATTTTCATATACTATAATTTTTATTTTGTGTATTTGTGTGTGTAAATGGGTTTTATCATAACATTATTATGTATGTAAAGCTCGTCAAAGCTGGTTTATTTATTCTTCAAATTCACTTTAGTCAAAAGGTTTTTTTCTCCTGACTGCTATTGTGCTTGACAGTTGGTGGTTACTAAAGCAACCAGTAATTGTTTTTCTGTTGCCACCTGTAACTGTGGCTCAGAAACTTTAGTGAAAAAAAAAGGATTTAATATGTTTGGTTTTTGAAACTGAACATTTTCCAAAGGTCTTTTTTTTTTTTTTTTAACATTTGAAACTCCAAGTGTTTTCTGGTAAATTTATAAGACCACTCTCAACATTTATGAGTTTTTTTCCTGCAAGAGTTACATTTTTTAATTTTGAAACTCATAATTTTCCACATCTTTTTTGTTTTAGAAAATGTTTTTCTTTTGGCAAAAATTTACTCCTTACGCTAAAGTCAACCTACTGACCTGAGACGAACAAAAAGGTTAACACATATATAACAACAGTAATGTTACTGAAAATACACGGTCTAAAATAAAACGATTTGTATTAAGTGGCAACCACAACAAAATATTGTATATCTGTCTCTAAACAAACAAAAAAACAAAATCAGTAGTCTGGTTCTGGGGGCTGGTAAGTTGGCTATCAAACCGCTAGGTGGTGCTGCTAGATGTAACGAGTGAGCAACTGAACGGCTACGTCAGAGGTTGTGTTGTGACGTTGCAGTTCTCGGGACCGTTCGGAAGCATTCGGAAGAGTTCGCCGGTTGCGCGAGGGCTGTTGAACATCATGGCGTCAGGAGCTGGAGATCCGTCAGGCGGACACGATGCAGAATTGGACGAACTACTGGACAGTGAGTGTTGACAGGAGGCTTGTCTTGACGGACTGTCTTCCCTGGGATGTTAAACTGCCTGTAAAGCACAACTGGGACCCCTGGTTTGTTTTTGTGTCCGTGTCGGGGGTTCAGGTGATCGGAGAGGACTCTGATGAGCTAACATATGACCGCTGACAGTTGGAGCAGTCTTTAGTGGCCTTCAAACTGCTTTTAAAGTGGAAAAAACTTTCCTTTATATACTTAAACTCCGAAACCAGTTAGCAGCTTTGGTTGTTTAACGTAAAAAAGCCTGCCTTTATTTACTCTGAGCATGTACTTTCACTGTACTAACCTTTGTCTGGTGTGTTTGTCATAACTTGATTGCGTTATGTGTCTTTTTTTTTAGACTCACGTACATTTTAGGAGGCAGCGGGCTTTGAACATTGATTGCTAAAATGTCTGCCAGGACTACTGCAAACAAATTATACGTATTTTAATCTTTAATTTGTTATCCGATTGTTTAATGCAATTTTAATATGCAACGATCTAATTTGCAACTGTGAAAGGCACACACACACACACACTCATATTATATATTTAATGTTGTATCACCGTGGTTTTAGTTTAGAAATATGTTGTTGCACTATAATTATTAATTATTATGCCTTCCCTGCAGATCCATACTGGTATTGTTTTATAGTGCAAACAATAAAACAATTCTTTTATTGTTGTTGTTTTTTTTAAACAATTGTTTAAAAAAAATGTTTACTCTAACCAATTATTTTTGGTTAGAGTAACCCTAACCAAAAAAAATTACTCTGGGTACAATTTTAGAGTCATTAAACTCATATGTTTCCTAGATTTGAGACCAGCTTAATCTGACCTGATGTTATCTTGTCTCTTCAGGTGCGTTGGATGATTTTGATAAAGCATCTGCTGCTTCTGCACCGGAACCTGCAGCTGCTTCATCTTCTGCCAGCAGCGGGGCAGAAAAGGTTTGTTTTAACTTCTTAATGCTCACTTTTCTCCAGCAGGCTGATTTCTCCTCCTGATAATGAGAAACTATGCTCAAGTTGCTACTGTGAGAAGTTTTCTTTCTCTTTTGGATCTCTTAGAAAGGAACTATTTTACCTTTAAAATGAAGAATTTAAAGGAAATTTAAATTCTCAATCTATTTCTTAACTTCTACAGAATTTTTTTACTTTATTATGGGTTTTTAACATTTGACAGTTTATTTGACCAAACATTTTGGCACTTCTTTAAAGTCTTAAACACCAATTTTAAACTAATGTGAAAAGGTTAGTTTCTCACCTGCAGTGTAAATGCAGGTAAAAATAACCTGTATGTTTATTTAAATGTTTCTGTTTTTATTCAGCCCCCTCTATTAGAGGACAACAAACTTTTCGAGACCCTGTTTGAAGGGGACATGGCGGCCCAGGCCAGGGAGGAGTTTGAGAAGGCCATGTCCGAGCTCGCCCAGGAGGAATCAGAACTCCTGCGGCTCTTCCACAAACTCTCAGAGGCTGCAGGAAAAGTTGGTAAGTGCTCTCTGAACAGTTTATTTACAGTTTCTTGGAGCAGAGTTCATCTCATCTCTCTTGTGCGGACCACAACTCTAATTCAACAATGATACAGAATTGACCTGCCAGAACAGATGGTTAATTGAGATAGTCTTTATATTTTATTTATTATGGCAAAATTATTAGAGATTAATTAAAACCTTGCTAGGATCTTAGGTGGAACCGAAGGTACTTTTGTTTTTACGTTCTCTTTATTTATAAATAAAACCACTTATATTCAAAGATTTTTACTCGATTGCAGACTTCGATCCACTGACATCTGCTTTTAAACATTTTATTAGAAGTCATAAAAGTCTTTCTAGAGGCGTAGTTGGACCAGGAGTGGCGGGATTGGTGAATTTCAAAATTGTAATTTTCATCCGTTGTTTACGTCAGGATTTACAGTGTCTGGCTTCTTCTGGTCCAGAATTATGATGCATGTTACATTAAATAAAACGTGACATGACCGTCCTGACTGCAGACACTTTGAAAACAATCAGATATGTATTTGATTTAATACCACATATGGAAGTGGCACAGATCGGATTGTTTTTGGGTGACAAGATCAGAATTGGTTCAGACTGTTCTGATCTAAAAAAAAAATCAGATTTGAGTCATTTTTATCTGCTGCCTGAATATGGTGAAAGTCTAAATCTAAATCCAGCTGATAATCTGGATCTCCATCCAGTTTTACTACACTTCAATGATTTTTACAAAGAGGAGGCAAAATTTCAGTCACTAGAGGTGCAAAGCTGGTAGAGACAAACCCCAAAATGTTCTGCAAAGTATCAGAAGTACTGTTCAAATTTTTATGAATAAAAATCCACTTCATGATTATGTGCTACTTTGCATTTGTCTTTCATATAAAATCCAAATATAAAAATACCTTAACATCAGGGTTGGAAAGTATCAAAATGTAAAATAACCATCAACATTTTGATAAAGCTACCTCTACTGGTTTCCATGGTTTGTTCTGTTTGTTCTCTCCAGGCACCGATACTGCCTCCCAGCAAGAGTTCACCTCCTGCCTTAAAGAAACTCTTCGTGGCCTGGCCAAGAATGCAGACAACCTGCAGGTGAGGGGAGTCAGAGAAAATAAATAATAGCTCTGAAAATAATCAGCAGTTTATAGGCAATGTGTTTTGTTTCAGTCGTCTGGTTTGGCTGGAGACGACCTGGTGAAAGCTCTGGAGGGTTTGGGGCTTGAAGAAGGCGGCGACGGAGGCGGTGAAGATGGAAACATCCTCCCCATCATGCAGTCCATCATGCAGAATCTCCTCTCTAAAGACGTCCTCTATCCATCTCTCAAAGAGATCACCTCCAAGGTCTGCCTCATTTCTAACAAACGGATGAGGAAAATCTTCACCATGCTGTTCTATATTGATGGTAACTGTTGTTTCCTGAACAGTATCCAGAGTGGCTGGAAACAAACAAGTCAACCCTCAGTGCTGAGGATCACCAGCGGTACCAGCAGCAGGCGAAGATCATGGGAGACATCTGTAAGCTGTTTGAGAATGAGGAAGAGGAGGCGGAGGATAAAGAGCGGACGTTCGAGAGCATCATGGATCTGATGCAAAAGGTGATTCAGCTGCTACTCATGTTACACATGTTAAAGAAACAAGCTGAAATTATAATTTACCAGCCTATTTATGTATTTAAAATGGTTAGATCTGTTGTTGGGGCTCAGTGTATCATAAGCCTGGCGGGCCTCCAGGCTTTACTTGGGCCCCCCAGGCTAAGCATTGTTTGTTTGTTTATTATTCAGTGGAACCACTGCCTGTCTTTACCGGTCTATACGCTACAACTTCAGCAAATAAAGAGACATGGATACAAGATCCAAACATTTTGGACATTTTAATTAGGATGAAACATTATATTCATTTTAATTATTTTTTTTTATATTTGAATTTTAAACACTATCATTGGTATTGTTAATAACCTCTCCCAATACCACATAATTACCTAGCGATGTTTTCAATTTTCCAATCAACTTTAATTATTTAACTCAAAACCACGGTAGGCTGCTGGACTAGACATGTTTTATAAAGGAACACATGCTAAGTGTCAGCTTTTTGGTTGAAAGAAGGTTGGTGAGATTGTTTTTTTTTTCTGAATGTGGACAGTAATAATGAATGCTGGTCATATTTGTTTGATTTTACAGCTGCAGGATCTTGGCCAGCCGCCTAAGGAGTTGGCAGGCGACACGGTAAGCTGATTTACAGCATCTGTTTGTTCTGTGTGTAATAAATTTATCTCGTCTTAAAGGTTTCCTGAAATGGAATAAAATTTTTCTTTCTTTCTTTTTAATCTTTTTTTCTTTTCTTTTTTTTCTTTTTCCCAAAACAGATGATCAAGGCAAAAAAAATTACTTTTTGTCAAAGTGATTTATCTGTTTATTGTTTTTGCCAAAAAAGATAATTTAGGGGAAGAAAATCACTTTTGTCAAATAATGACTTGGGCCATTATTTTAGGAAGGTGGCAATATACATAAAAATAGCCAAAAAATATGAACTTTGTGTTAGATGTTGTGATGAAAGGCGTCTAAGTGAGATGTATTTACTCATGAAGGTTCCTGTTTCTGCTTCCTTTGCAGCCTCCGGGCTTTAATTTTGACATGGACTCCCTCAACCTGCCGGGAGTGGGCGGGGCCGGGGCAGCGGAGCAGTGCTCTGTCATGTGATGAGGTGGTGCGGCGGTCCGTCAGAAGATCTGAAGCCAAACGGTTCCTCTGTGTGTGTTTCAGCAGCAGGAAGGACTTTAGAGAGTGAAACATGGGTCACGAAGGAGTGAGATCAGAACGCAGGTTCTGTTCATAGAAAGGTGTGTGTGTGTAAAAACAACTGGAGGGAAAAACCCAAAAGGAAACCCAAATACTCTCTAACACCATCAAAGATATTTGTGATAGTTAGCGATTGCAGAAACTCCTCCGCGATTAATTTTAACAGGATTTTCTGGAGAAGAAATGAGCTCAGCTGTTCTCCGTGTTGATTTTACTGACTGTTTAGCCTCGTGGTGAATTCTCTCCTGACAACTCGCAGGTTTGAATGGTGCCTTTTCACAAGCAGCTAGAGTTCAGTTTTTAGCTCTTCTGCTGCTGTTCAGCTGGCTAATTCAGTCATAGTTTTAATAACGAGATAAAGATGTGGTAGTTTTGATCAACAAAATGTTATTTTTTGTTTAAAACTTTAAAATAATTAATCTGCAAGGAACTTAACAAGATCCATTCCCCTCCCGTTATCCCCATTCCCAGGTTTTGATGTGAAGTGACGGACCCGATTCCTGAATGGCTTTGCTGTGGTTACAGTGATCATTACAGTGTTCAATTACTGTACTAAGTGCTTCCTGCGTGATTCCCGGTGTTTTTTAACATGCAGGAAAAACCCCCAAAACGACCACAGTGGGTTTTTAGAGCGATAATCGCAAGTAAGATGTCTTTCTAGAAGAGGTGAGAGGAGAAGCATCACATTGTGTCACATGAGGAGGGATAAATGTGCAACGTGTGTGCAGGTGGACTGTTTGGTAACGCATCAACGCCCTGATGTTAGCACTTTTTGGTTTGTTTATTCCAGCAAACCCACTTTTCATCAGCGACTCTTTGCCTCATAGACAACACTTTTCCTCTTAACAATAGAGAGAGGTCCAGAAATGACACGGCCATCAGCCCATCTGTAACGGCACAATAAAAGGGTACTGTCAAAGGATTTAGCTATGCACTGAACAGACATCAGAGGTCCATCAGAAGCAGCTGAATGAGAAGCGGCTGCAGAGGTTTGGTCACATGGTTTGGGGTTAAGGGTAATCAGCTCTCAGGGCCGACCCGGCACCCTGAAAATAAACAAAATGCAACCTGTTATGACACTACTGTGTTTTGTAAATGTAATAAACATTGATATGTGTATAGAAATGTGTTTTTAGTCTGTGTTTTTACTCAGTTGGTTTCCTTTTTATAAGAAGTTGCTGAAACAAAATTTGTATGTTACATTTTTTACTACATTCAGACTCGAAGCGGCCTTAAAAACATAAAAAGAAACATCTCTATATAAAACATAAGACATAAATTTGACCATTTTTGAGAGTAAATAAAGACATAAAATGTTCAAAAAGTTTTCCAAGATAGCCACAATTTATTATTCGTATACGTTAGTTTCATTTGTGTCACAATTAAAGGCATGTTATGAAATCTCAACCATTTTATTCTAATGTGTTTAATAAAGTACTTTTTGCAAAGGACAAATACCAAAGTCCTTAATGTGACCAAATTGCAGATTTTCTATATCATCTTACAGGACAATATCAGGTGATTAGTAACTAGTTACAGTAAGTTTTACTCGCTGTGCTTTTTATTTTACTGAAGTTATATTATTAAAGTAGCACTACTTTCATTTAAGTATAATTTCTGGATATACTAACCACTGTATGAAGAAAACGTATGTTTTAAACTAACAAAAAATGCTCCACACACGAATTGTTTTAACATTATGATGTTCTGATGTTATTTTCTGTTGAACCATTTGGAGACAAAAAAAAGACAGTAAGCACTACATATTGTCACTGAAGTAATTTACCTTGTTTTGACATACTTATAAATTATATACTTTAAATTTAGTTTCAAAAGTTTATATTGAAGTAATTTGAATGTTTTTTCTTGCCTGAATTTATTTTATAATTATGATTTTTTTTAAACATTCTTTTAAATGCCAGAACTTCCTATAGTTTTCTCCATCTTCATCGGTAAATCAGTACTTCAATAGTCTTTTACAAATTTATTTCTTTTTTTTTTTTTACTGGATATATTTCTTGGCAAGCTTCTTTTTACTTTTAAAGTATTGTAAAAGTATATTAAAATAGTGCTACTCATACTTGAGTTCAAATTCTGGGTATTCAACCCTCTTCTTCTGAAATGTTTTTTTTTCTTTTGTAAATTTTTACTTTATTCCTTAGAAAAATTGCACATAACTTTATATTTGTGTCTGTCTGATTACATCGTTTTCACAAATTAAGATGCTTTTATCAACCATTTAGTGCCAAATAGCCCTATTTTTTCACTTTTACTTGACTATGTTTTACGATTACTTTTACTTCGGCTCATGTAATATTAAAATAATGCTGCTCTCATTTAAGTAACATATTTAGCTATTCTAGCCACCTCTGAACCATAGGCAGCTCTTTGCAAAAGTTTTATAATTATGATGTGTAATGTTATGGTTTATCGTCGCTGTAAATCCGCAAAGAAACAGGTCTTCTAGAGTTGCCATGACTGAATTTTAGCTGTTGTGCTCAGAGACGCTTGTCATTGCCGTTCTGTGTGTTGTATTTCTATGCGCCCGTGCCGTGGAGCTTTCTGCGTCAGATTTGCGTCGGAAGTCAGAAGCGACTACGTGTCAGGAAAAGAGAAGTCGGCTAAATGGGCGAAGGCGACCAGGTCGTCTGAAACAATCTTTCTGCAACATTTGAGTGGTTCCTTTTGTTAGGATTGAGACAATTTAAGGATAGTTTTTAATAATTTGTCCTGAAGATTTGAACAGCGACGATGCTAACAAAATTTGAAACCAAGTCTGCGCGTGTGAAAGGTAAGAGTTTGCTAATAGCAGTTAGCATCGATGCTAGCTCCAGCTAGCGGGCGATACTTCTACCAACTATTTATTCCATAAGGTGTAACGGTTAAAAAATAAAGGATTTGTTGTTTTAGTTTTGTATATTCTATACAGCGTTGCCATTGTCTTGTATTTAGTATCTCTTTTAATGTTAAAATGACACGACTTGCACATCTACGTAGCTATCGCTAATGTTGCTATTCAGATTTTTAACGGATTCATGGTTATAGTTGAAATTGTGTTCATATTTCAGGTCTGAGTTTTCACCCAAAAAGGCCATGGGTTCTTGCAAGTTTGCACAATGGTGTCATCCAGCTGTGGGACTATCGGATGTGCACACTGATCGACAAATTTGATGAACACGATGGTAAATTAGCTCTTTTTAAATGTTTGTTTTAGTTGAAGTTTTGCATCGTTTTCCATACAAACTTGTTTTGTTCCCTACAGGTCCTGTCAGAGGAATTGATTTCCACAAGCAGCAGCCTCTTTTTGTGTCTGGAGGAGATGACTACAAAATCAAGGTGATCACTGCTTCTGTTTTGCATGACCAGCAACACACATATGAACCTGAATCACATGATTTAAGCAATGTTTGGATCTTTCATGGTACCGTTATCTCTGGAAATCTCTAACATTATATCTGTTCAACCAGGTGTGGAACTACAAGCTGAGACGCTGTCTCTTTACCCTTTTGGGACACCTGGACTACATCAGAACTACGTTCTTTCACCATGTGAGTTGTTCCACAAGTTTAACACATTCTTATTCTTAACATAGAGTAGAAATCAAATTTATTTGTCCCTCGGTGTGTAAATTAAGGTATGACAGCAGCAATGTGACAAGACAGTTATAGTATGTAGACGTACACACAAATAGAAGTAATAATAACAGACTGTACTTTAGGTTAGGGCTGTGTAATAATATCGATTTTGCGATATATATGGATATTTTCTTTCCTAGAAAAAAATCTATATTCANTTGGTTAGAGTAACCCTAACCAAAAAAAATTACTCTGGGTACAATTTTAGAGTCATTAAACTCATATGTTTCCTAGATTTGAGACCAGCTTAATCTGACCTGATGTTATCTTGTCTCTTCAGGTGCGTTGGATGATTTTGATAAAGCATCTGCTGCTTCTGCACCGGAACCTGCAGCTGCTTCATCTTCTGCCAGCAGCGGGGCAGAAAAGGTTTGTTTTAACTTCTTAATGCTCACTTTTCTCCAGCAGGCTGATTTCTCCTCCTGATAATGAGAAACTATGCTCAAGTTGCTACTGTGAGAAGTTTTCTTTCTCTTTTGGATCTCTTAGAAAGGAACTATTTTACCTTTAAAATGAAGAATTTAAAGGAAATTTAAATTCTCAATCTATTTCTTAACTTCTACAGAATTTTTTTACTTTATTATGGGTTTTTAACATTTGACAGTTTATTTGACCAAACATTTTGGCACTTCTTTAAAGTCTTAAACACCAATTTTAAACTAATGTGAAAAGGTTAGTTTCTCACCTGCAGTGTAAATGCAGGTAAAAATAACCTGTATGTTTATTTAAATGTTTCTGTTTTTATTCAGCCCCCTCTATTAGAGGACAACAAACTTTTCGAGACCCTGTTTGAAGGGGACATGGCGGCCCAGGCCAGGGAGGAGTTTGAGAAGGCCATGTCCGAGCTCGCCCAGGAGGAATCAGAACTCCTGCAGCACTTCCACAAACTCTCAGAGGCTGCAGGAAAAGTTGGTAAGTGCTCTCTGAACAGTTTATTTACAGTTTCTTGGAGCAGAGTTCATCTCATCTCTCTTGTGCGGACCACAACTCTAATTCAACAATGATACAGAATTGACCTGCCAGAACAGATGGTTAATTGAGATAGTCTTTATATTTTATTTATTATGGCAAAATTATTAGAGATTAATTAAAACCTTGCTAGGATCTTAGGTGGAACCGAAGGTACTTTTGTTTTTACGTTCTCTTTATTTATAAATAAAACCACTTATATTCAAAGATTTTTACTCGATTGCAGACTTCGATCCACTGACATCTGCTTTTAAACATTTTATTAGAAGTCATAAAAGTCTTTCTAGAGGCGTAGTTGGACCAGGAGTGGCGGGATTGGTGAATTTCAAAATTGTAATTTTCATCCGTTGTTTACGTCAGGATTTACAGTGTCTGGCTTCTTCTGGTCCAGAATTATGATGCATGTTACATTAAATAAAACGTGACATGACCGTCCTGACTGCAGACACTTTGAAAACAATCAGATATGTATTTGATTTAATACCACATATGGAAGTGGCACAGATCGGATTGTTTTTGGGTGACAAGATCAGAATTGGTTCAGACTGTTCTGATCTAAAAAAAAAATCAGATTTGAGTCATTTTTATCTGCTGCCTGAATATGGTGAAAGTCTAAATCTAAATCCAGCTGATAATCTGGATCTCCATCCAGTTTTACTACACTTCAATGATTTTTACAAAGAGGAGGCAAAATTTCAGTCACTAGAGGTGCAAAGCTGGTAGAGACAAACCCCAAAATGTTCTGCAAAGTATCAGAAGTACTGTTCAAATTTTTATGAATAAAAATCCACTTCATGATTATGTGCTACTTTGCATTTGTCTTTCATATAAAATCCAAATATAAAAATACCTTAACATCAGGGTTGGAAAGTATCAAAATGTAAAATAACCATCAACATTTTGATAAAGCTACCTCTACTGGTTTCCATGGTTTGTTCTGTTTGTTCTCTCCAGGCACCGATACTGCCTCCCAGCAAGAGTTCACCTCCTGCCTTAAAGAAACTCTTCGTGGCCTGGCCAAGAATGCAGACAACCTGCAGGTGAGGGGAGTCAGAGAAAATAAATAATAGCTCTGAAAATAATCAGCAGTTTATAGGCAATGTGTTTTGTTTCAGTCGTCTGGTTTGGCTGGAGACGACCTGGTGAAAGCTCTGGAGGGTTTGGGGCTTGAAGAAGGCGGCGACGGAGGCGGTGAAGATGGAAACATCCTCCCCATCATGCAGTCCATCATGCAGAATCTCCTCTCTAAAGACGTCCTCTATCCATCTCTCAAAGAGATCACCTCCAAGGTCTGCCTCATTTCTAACAAACGGATGAGGAAAATCTTCACCATGCTGTTCTATATTGATGGTAACTGTTGTTTCCTGAACAGTATCCAGAGTGGCTGGAAACAAACAAGTCAACCCTCAGTGCTGAGGATCACCAGCGGTACCAGCAGCAGGCGAAGATCATGGGAGACATCTGTAAGCTGTTTGAGAATGAGGAAGAGGAGGCGGAGGATAAAGAGCGGACGTTCGAGAGCATCATGGATCTGATGCAAAAGGTGATTCAGCTGCTACTCATGTTACACATGTTAAAGAAACAAGCTGAAATTATAATTTACCAGCCTATTTATGTATTTAAAATGGTTAGATCTGTTGTTGGGGCTCAGTGTATCATAAGCCTGGCGGGCCTCCAGGCTTTACTTGGGCCCCCCAGGCTAAGCATTGTTTGTTTGTTTATTATTCAGTGGAACCACTGCCTGTCTTTACCGGTCTATACGCTACAACTTCAGCAAATAAAGAGACATGGATACAAGATCCAAACATTTTGGACATTTTAATTAGGATGAAACATTATATTCATTTTAATTATTTTTTTTTATATTTGAATTTTAAACACTATCATTGGTATTGTTAATAACCTCTCCCAATACCACATAATTACCTAGCGATGTTTTCAATTTTCCAATCAACTTTAATTATTTAACTCAAAACCACGGTAGGCTGCTGGACTAGACATGTTTTATAAAGGAACACATGCTAAGTGTCAGCTTTTTGGTTGAAAGAAGGTTGGTGAGATTGTTTTTTTTTTCTGAATGTGGACAGTAATAATGAATGCTGGTCATATTTGTTTGATTTTACAGCTGCAGGATCTTGGCCAGCCGCCTAAGGAGTTGGCAGGCGACACGGTAAGCTGATTTACAGCATCTGTTTGTTCTGTGTGTAATAAATTTATCTCGTCTTAAAGGTTTCCTGAAATGGAATAAAATTTTTCTTTCTTTCTTTTTAATCTTTTTTTCTTTTCTTTTTTTTCTTTTTCCCAAAACAGATGATCAAGGCAAAAAAAATTACTTTTTGTCAAAGTGATTTATCTGTTTATTGTTTTTGCCAAAAAAGATAATTTAGGGGAAGAAAATCACTTTTGTCAAATAATGACTTGGGCCATTATTTTAGGAAGGTGGCAATATACATAAAAATAGCCAAAAAATATGAACTTTGTGTTAGATGTTGTGATGAAAGGCGTCTAAGTGAGATGTATTTACTCATGAAGGTTCCTGTTTCTGCTTCCTTTGCAGCCTCCGGGCTTTAATTTTGACATGGACTCCCTCAACCTGCCGGGAGTGGGCGGGGCCGGGGCAGCGGAGCAGTGCTCTGTCATGTGATGAGGTGGTGCGGCGGTCCGTCAGAAGATCTGAAGCCAAACGGTTCCTCTGTGTGTGTTTCAGCAGCAGGAAGGACTTTAGAGAGTGAAACATGGGTCACGAAGGAGTGAGATCAGAACGCAGGTTCTGTTCATAGAAAGGTGTGTGTGTGTAAAAACAACTGGAGGGAAAAACCCAAAAGGAAACCCAAATACTCTCTAACACCATCAAAGATATTTGTGATAGTTAGCGATTGCAGAAACTCCTCCGCGATTAATTTTAACAGGATTTTCTGGAGAAGAAATGAGCTCAGCTGTTCTCCGTGTTGATTTTACTGACTGTTTAGCCTCGTGGTGAATTCTCTCCTGACAACTCGCAGGTTTGAATGGTGCCTTTTCACAAGCAGCTAGAGTTCAGTTTTTAGCTCTTCTGCTGCTGTTCAGCTGGCTAATTCAGTCATAGTTTTAATAACGAGATAAAGATGTGGTAGTTTTGATCAACAAAATGTTATTTTTTGTTTAAAACTTTAAAATAATTAATCTGCAAGGAACTTAACAAGATCCATTCCCCTCCCGTTATCCCCATTCCCAGGTTTTGATGTGAAGTGACGGACCCGATTCCTGAATGGCTTTGCTGTGGTTACAGTGATCATTACAGTGTTCAATTACTGTACTAAGTGCTTCCTGCGTGATTCCCGGTGTTTTTTAACATGCAGGAAAAACCCCCAAAACGACCACAGTGGGTTTTTAGAGCGATAATCGCAAGTAAGATGTCTTTCTAGAAGAGGTGAGAGGAGAAGCATCACATTGTGTCACATGAGGAGGGATAAATGTGCAACGTGTGTGCAGGTGGACTGTTTGGTAACGCATCAACGCCCTGATGTTAGCACTTTTTGGTTTGTTTATTCCAGCAAACCCACTTTTCATCAGCGACTCTTTGCCTCATAGACAACACTTTTCCTCTTAACAATAGAGAGAGGTCCAGAAATGACACGGCCATCAGCCCATCTGTAACGGCACAATAAAAGGGTACTGTCAAAGGATTTAGCTATGCACTGAACAGACATCAGAGGTCCATCAGAAGCAGCTGAATGAGAAGCGGCTGCAGAGGTTTGGTCACATGGTTTGGGGTTAAGGGTAATCAGCTCTCAGGGCCGACCCGGCACCCTGAAAATAAACAAAATGCAACCTGTTATGACACTACTGTGTTTTGTAAATGTAATAAACATTGATATGTGTATAGAAATGTGTTTTTAGTCTGTGTTTTTACTCAGTTGGTTTCCTTTTTATAAGAAGTTGCTGAAACAAAATTTGTATGTTACATTTTTTACTACATTCAGACTCGAAGCGGCCTTAAAAACATAAAAAGAAACATC